AAAAAAAGGGACACCAAATTTAGGGAGCAATTCTGGCTATAAGGAAGAAAAATTGATAATTAAAAAGACTGAGAGAATAAATATGGATAAGACTGTATGTTGTTTATATTAATCAGTTTAGATTTTCTCTTACCATAATGTTCCTAAGCTTCTAGTGTCTCATGACCACCAATCTTTCTTCATTGCAAAGCATCTTCTGAACTCCTGACAATGATATTTCTAAGCAACACTCTAATACCATGGTTTTTCTTTATAAAACAAGTTATGATGATCAAGATGATAGATACTTTAAAATTCACATTTAACAGAATAGTTATTAGAGGTTAATATGTTGTAATATAAATTAGATAACTAAAAAAGCAAGATGACTATAGTATGTTTAATATGATGACAATTTTGCATAGTAAGAAATGCATGTAAAAATACAAAAAAAAAATTCATAGCAGTCACTTTGCTTAGCATATTTTGAGTGATATTTATGTTACTCTTTATTCACAAGTGTACTTTCAAAATTTTTTACAGTGATCATATGTTTATGACCAGAAATTTCCTTTTCACAGACAGTCAAAATCTCAGTACACACTATTAAAATGAAGTAATACTAAAGCAAATCAACCAAAAACCAAACAGAAATTTTGCTGACAATGAGAAAACAAATATGGAAGCATAAGTGCTTTAAAAAGCTGGTTAAAATTTCTTGTATTCATACAGAGTGTGTACTTCTAAACTATAGGTTTTAAAACTCTCATATGGCACTGGATATAAACAGAGTCATATCGAAAATAGTTATATGTGTATATGTAGTGGAAATAAATAAAGACAAACAATATGAGAAAAAAATAAGCTGCATATTCAGAATTTACTATGAAAAGACCACAGTCATAGTCACTGTCATTTGTATTTGGCAAGAAGTCAAAGATGGACAAGAAGTGAAATAGCTTTACATAGAAAAAAATCAAAGAAGAAATGACTTTGGATATGATCTGATTGGAAGTTGCTGGCCTGGGAAAGACAGAGGTAGGCTAATTATAAGGGGATCATCTTATGTGATTAGTTTGGTGAGCTTATTTGAATTTTCCTGTTTGGGTCTGAGTTGGACCCAGGGGCAAAAATTAAGGAAGCTGGCATCACTAAGTCCTCACCATTTCAGGCATTTCCTGCAGAGGAAGTGAGTCACAGTTCTATGGTCATATGTCACCTGCCATTGTCTGTTTGTGTATTCAGTCTTTCCATCTCTTCTTCTGTTCATTCACTGTCTTATGAGATGTTTCTTGAGATCCAGATCTTTGCTACTTGGGAACTGTTTAGCTGTCTTCATAGTCAACTGTGTTACAGATCTTGTTTTTGTTATTGTGACATCATGACAATCATCTGATGAAAGAGTGGATGAAAGAGGCACAGAAGCATTTAAAATTTTGGATTGAATTAAATAGATGAATATCATGATCACTAAGACAAAAACAAGAACAACTAAGTCCCCATAGGATACCTCAGAATCAGGAACATTTTCATAATATAGGTGTACAGAATAAATCCCACAGTCCACAGTCCCTGAAGATCACACTTGGAGAACAAATTGTCTTTGTCTTTAAGATAATATACAGTCTGTTCCACCTTGGCTGTTTCATTGATCCCAATATGGAAAGATGTATGAACGATGAATGACATAAACACCATGACTAGCCAATAAGAAATACACAGCATTGGGTTGGTAATTTACTACTCATGCCAATGAATTGATACTGAATTGTATTCCTCCTGTGGCAGAAGTGGTATTGTTAATAAATGCATCTAGATTTAGTGATAAGTTTCTCACAGTCCTTTCTACTTATTCACACTAATGGGAACACCACTCTGATTGTTACCAGTAATTCCCCTAGTGGAGTGCATGAATAAGGGTGGCTTCATTTTGGGCTTATGTCAAAATAGACTTTCTAGCTTTGGTGACATAAAATTTCTCTACTGTGTAAATAAAAGTCTTTAAATAATATCCACAAAGTGCACAGTGTATCTGTCTGAGGCAAACAGGATCACACATCCTGACCACAAAGAAAAATAGCAGTGGTAGAGGTAAATGGAAGTTCAAGGGGGAAAGGAGTTGTTTACAACACAAGGTTGGAATCAAGGCCTTGAATTAGGTAGGTTACATATTTGAAACAATATTAGTATTTTTCACACTGCAAATGTTTGACCCATGATTCTATGAAGGTTGTTGAATTCAAATGTAGAATTATTTAGGGTTTGATTAATAGTTGTAATGGTTGGTTCCTTCTCTGATAGAGAACAAAAGCTTTTTTTTTTTTTTTTTTTTGAGGTGATTTGCCCAAGTAGGTGCAAATGGGAACTCCATTGCTTATTATTCTCTATGGGCTCATTTGATGAATTAGATTTATCCAGAGGTTTTTATCAGAGGATCTAGTGACGGATGGCTTATCTAGCTAGCAGTAAAATTAAAGCAGTGAATGCTGTTTGCATTAATCTAAGAATGTGGTAGAACAAGAATGCTCTGCAATAATTATGAGAAGGAACAAAAAGGGTCATTCTAGATGGGCAAAGACAAGGGGTCTGTAGAAAATGAGAAGGGTTATTATAACATGCAGATAAAAAAGCAAAACAAGTATTGGGCTGGGGTCATGGTCCTATGTCTTGGACAGAAGCTGTCTACTTGAGGCCATCCACTTGTTCCAAAGATCTTGTGTCAGTTGTCCACTTCTGTAAATTGGCTGCTTCTGGAAGAACTCATGGAGAAGACAACGGCAACCTACTCCAGTATTCTTGCCTGGAAAACCCCATTGGCAGAGGAGCCTGGTGGGCTGCAGTCCATGGGGTCATGAAGAGTGGGACATGACTGAGCGACTTCACTTTCACTTTCATGCATTGGAGAAAGAAATGGCAGCCCACTCCAGCGCTCTTACCTGGAGAATCCCAGGGACAGCGGAGCCTGGTGGGCTGCCATCTATGGATCGCACAGAGTCAGACACGACTGAAGTGACTTAGCAGCAGCAGCAGCAGCAGAGGAACTCAGAGAATTCTCAGCCTGAGGTCCTCAACTGGATGGCCTTTTTGTTGTGTGTAATTATAAATTGCTTCTTTAGTTTCAAAACGTGAACCCAGGGACTGACTCCCTGAAATCATAGTGCTGTATTAGTTATAAGACTTAATAAAGTCCCTTACAGTGAATTTCAAGAGCAGATTTTTAAAAATGTTATTTTAATAGGCAAAATCTTGCTGTTTAGAAATCTATTTTGAGAAATCTATATTCTGTTGATGGTTAGCCTGAGGTTTTGCAATATTTTGCCACATCTGCATGAGTGCTGACTCTAGTATTAGAGATGAAACCTGTAAGCACATGGACCTTCTACTTATCAGAAGTTCATCTGGGGACAAGTAATAGTCCCCTGAGGGGACAGACCATCTGGCCACAAGTTATAGCGGAAAATCCTTTGGCCAAGGGAATTCATGGGTTTCTGAACATTTTGATAATCATAATTTTAAGATGATGGTTTTTCTTTCTTTCTTTTTTTTTTTTTTTTAAGATTGTGGGTGGCAAGAACACTGTAGTCTTTAAGTGGTGAAGGCTTACAGAAATTTTTATAATGGTTCCTGGCCATTTCCTCTTTCATAATTTTTCCAGCATTGTGTTGTTGACAAATGACACATGGACCTAAAATAGCCTTAGATTTCTTATTTATTTATTTGGCTATATTTGGTCTTAGTTGTGACATGCAGGGTTTTTGCATGTGTAATGTGTAATGTGGGATCTTTGGTTGCAGCAAATAGATTCTCCAGTTGTGGTGTACAGGCTCAGCAGTTTTGGTGCTAGGGTTTAGTTGCTCTGCAGAATCCAGGATCTTAGTGCCCTGACCGTGGATCGAACCTGTATCCCTTGCATTGCAAAGCAGATTCTTAACCATTGGAACACCAGGGAAGTCCCTTCAGATATCTTATTACTGTTTCTCTGCCAATGTTTATTTAAGATAGTTTGATCAATTTGTATATACTGTATTAAGGAGTTTCATGAGGAAATTAAGATAACGCACATTTGAAATCTATTGGTGCCACCAAGCAGCCATCTTGGAAGTGCTGGAGATTACCTGTGTGAAGTGTTCAATGGGATCTTTTCCATTCTTCCTTCTCAAATTCAAGGGATAAGCATTGATATATTTTAATGATACCTTTGAATACACTTAGAGATTATTTGTCCTTTTATGGCTTACATAGAATCGTGATTTTGGTTTCAGCTACTAGTTTGGCATAATTATCTGCTAGAGCATTTTTTGAGGGGACTGGGTCTCAGTATGTATAATCACTTTCTATTGGTGTTATGTCTAGTATTGCTTCTGAAAGTTTCTTAGCTTGTCTAGCTTTGATGGGAGTTCCTGCAAAAGTAAGGAACCCCCTATGTTTCCAAAGTATTCCAAAGTTCTGTAATACTCTGAATGTAAATCTGGTATCTATATACATTTTTGGTCCTTTAGTGGACTGGAACCTGGTAGTCCAGAGCCGACAATGAGAAAGTGAAAGAAGGAAAGAGGCTAATATTCCCTGGGTTATGCTTGTCAGCTTTCACGTTCCAGGGAATCAGCCAGAAATAGATAAAGAGAGGAAGAGAAAGAAAGAAAGAAAGACATGGGGACCAAAACTCTGATGGAGCAAAGGTGTTTCATCAACATGGCATGGGCATATATATTGTCTTACAAGGTAGTTATTCTCAACAAAGATAAAGATTAAAATTCCAGACTTACAAAACACAAGGTGATCCCTAGTAAAGAGAGAAGAGGGTACTTATCACCATAATGAGAAACTAACAAAGGAAATGCCTGGATTCCTCAGCCCCAGGAAAGGCATGCCTCTCCACTTAATTCCTGAATGTTCAGGAATTAATAAGGGCCAAAGTTTCCTGACAGATCCAAAACAGCACACAGGAAGGCTCCTGTTAAATGCTTCCTGACAATATATTGGTCATCTAAAACTGCCAAAACAAAATGCCAAGCACTGGGTGATTTAAGCAACAGAAATTTATTTTCCCATAGGTCTAGAGGCTGGGCATCCATTCAGTGTCAGCATGGTTTCTCCTGAGGCTTTTGTGTGTGGCTTGTAGATGGCTGAGTCCTCTTAGGATCTTTCCTTCCTGTGCTGGATTCCCTGGTGAGTCTTCCTCTTCTTACAAGGAAATCAGTCCTGTTAGCTTAGGGCTCCACTCTTATAAGCTTAGTTAACCCCAAAGGAACCCTATTTTACCGTACAGTCACACTGAAGTTTAGGATTTCAGCATAGGAAGGAGGGGCATATTTTGGTCTATAACACTTTCTGTATGGTTGCTTTATAGTCTTTAGCTAGTTGGAAAGCTCTAGCAAATGCAATAAATTCTTCCATCTGGGTTGACTTTACCTCAGGTAGAGGACTATATTCCAAGGAGAACTTGAATGAGCCAGTTTCAGTTTTGAGGTAGGATGTACCAATAAATAACTCTTGGTCAGATTTCTCATGAGAGCCTCTAATAAAACTGAGTGCAGTGAAGAAAAATCCCTGAGATCAGAGGTTCATGACACTCTCCCCCCCCCCACCCGCCTCTACTGGTGTGGATAGTTCCAAGATTCACGGTGCTATGGTGATAAACGGTAATGAGGGGGAGACACTAATGATCTCATAAGAGGTTAATTAGCTGGCTGAAAATTGTTAAAGGTTCTCGGTCAGCAGAAATATCTTTACTGAATGAGGAATCCTGAGGTCAACCAGGGAACCAGAAAAGTTCAGCAGAAATATCAGCAATTTCTGCAGCAGCACTCACTGCCCAAAGATGAGGGGATTAAGGTTTTGTACCCAGGTGAGCCTGAGGATATATTAAGTGAAAGGTATTTGAAGGTATATCTGAAATTGAGTTAAAATTCCAATTCTTGGCCAGATTCCTCATGCACAAATACACAAAATAAGTTTTTGTCATGTGGGCAGACTGCAAAAAAAGGGTATTTAACACTTTCCTCCAGATTATAGAAGCCCCATTCCTGTCGGCTCCTAGAGGAGAGCGTTTCTTCCCTGAGGACTAGTCAATTCATACAGTAGTGTTGACATCTCAGACAAATTTGGCACCTATTGTCTGCGATATTCAGTTAAACACAGAAATATTATTAATGGGTGGCTTGTGAGGGATCTGGGATAAATTTGGATGGGCTTTAGTCTGTCAGGAGAATGTTTTCCTTTCCTTTGATAAGTCACACCCTAAATAATGATCTGTCCTGGTAAATTGTCTTTTGGGATGCATGTCGTTTTTCTTCTAAGGCTGAGAGCTAGTAAACAAAATCCTTTTTATAGATTCCCTTGTTCTTTGAAAAAAGTAGGAGAAGGTGTACATACTATATCAGAACCGAATCCCCCCACAATTTATATTTTTAATTTTTGATATGGGACCTAGGGAAAATTAAAAGGGTATTTCATTGGGCTGCCAGGTTCTGACTGTTCAGGTGTACTGCAGCTTACTCCAGGTGAAGACGGTAAGGTGTGGGTTATCCTGTTCTAGAGGCACACAGAAAACTCCTGAGTAAGAATTCACACATGAAGCAAGTAGCTTCAGGAATGCATGAGACAAGTGCTCGGGGCTGGAGCACTGGGATGATCCAGAGGGATAGGATAGCGAGAGAGGTGGGAGGGGGGTTCAAGATGGGGAACACATGTAAATCCATGGTTGATTCATGTCAATGTATGGCAAAAACCACTACAATATTGTAAAATAATTAGCCTCCAACTAATAAAAATAAATAAAAAAAAAAAAAAAAAGAATGGATGGTATTAGGGTTAAGTAGTACCAGTGATTGAGAGATAATGGCTTTTCTGACAGGCCTGAGGTCTGGAGAAAAATTAGTATTCCTGTCTATTTGGTTTCTTTCCTGGCAGGACAGTAGTATAGCAAGTCCTACGCTAGATATGAGAAGAATTTTGGATAGAATGCCTTGAAATGTGTATTTGATCCCCTCCTTTGCTTGTAACTTCAATTGATATTATATTAGGAAGGTCTGAATAATGGTTTGGTAATGTCCATCTGCGCAGAAGGCAATGGCACACCACTCCAGTACTCTTGCCTGGAAAATCCCATGGACGAAGGAGCCTGGTAGGCTGCAGCCCATGGGGTCACTAAAAGTCGGACACAACTGAGCGACTTCACTTTCACTTTTCACTTCCATGCATTGGAGAAGGAAATGGCAACCCACTCCAGTGTTCTTGCCTGGAGAATCCCAGGGATGAGGGAGCCTGGTGGGCTGCCGTCTATGGGGTCGCACAGAGTCAGACACGACTGAAGCGACTTAGCAGCAACAGCAGCAGCAAGGTTCATCTGACTTTTAATAAGTTCTGCTTCAATTATTTTTTCTATGCCAAAGAATTTTTAATAGAGATGAAGGTATAGTTTTTCTCATTTCCTCTGCTCCCACACATGTATAACCTCCCCCCTTATGAACATCACTAACCAGAATGGTACTATTTTACCAGCAATGGACCTATATTGGTATCATAACCACATAAAGTTCATAGTTTACCTTAGGGTTTCTCCTTGGTGTTGCACATTCTTTGGGTATGGACAAAAGTATAATGACATATACCCACCATAATAATAACATACAAAGTATTTTCACTACCCTAAAGATTCTATGTTCTGCCTATTCATTTCCCCCACACCCCAAACCTTGGAAACCACTGATCTTTTCATTGTCCCCATAGTTTTGATTTTCAAGAATGTCATATAGTTGCAATTATACAATATGTAACCTTTCAGATTGACTTCTTTCACTTATTAATAGTAATATGCACTTCAGTTTTCTTCATGGCTTGATAAATAATTTACCACTGAATAATACTTTATTGTCTGGATGTTCTGCAGTTTGTCTTTTAACCATCTTGAAGGACAACTTGGTTGCTTCTGAGTTTTGACAATTATAAATAAAGCTTCTGTAAAAATCACTGTGAAGCTTTTTGTGTGGAAATCATGAGTGTGTTTCATTCTGTAAGAATCCATCAAATTGTCTTCTAACCAACTGTCTTCCATTCTGCATTTTAGCTAAATTGTTTGACTTCCTGTTGGTCTAAAGCCTCACCAGCATTTCATGTTGCCAGTGTTCCAGACTCTGAACATTTCAATAGCTATGAAGAGGTATCTCACTGCAGTTTCAATTTGTATTTCCCTGATGATGTGTGATGTGGAGCATCTTTTCATATGCTTATTTGCCATCTGTAACATCTTCTTTGGTGATGTCTATATTAAGATCGTTAGTTAATTTTTTTAATCAGGTTGCTTATTTTCTTCTGGTTGAATTTTAGCAGTTACTTGTATATTTTACATACCAGTCCTTTATCAGATGAGTCATTCTCCCAGTCTGTGGCTTATATTCCAATTGTTGACATTCTCTTTTGCTTAGCAGAAGTTTTTAATTTTAATAAATTCCAATTCATCAATTATTTCTTTCATAGACCATGTCTTTTGTGTTGTATCTAAAAAGGAATCATGACATACAAAGTCGTTTAGATTTTCTCCATGTTAACTTCTAAGAGTTTCATAATTTTATGCATTTCATTTTATACATAACTATATGATCCATTTTGAGTTAATTTTTGTAAAAGGTCACGATCTAGTTTCTTTCCTTTTTTTTTTTTTTTTTTGTTGATGGGATGGGGCATGTGGATGTCCAGTTGTTTAAGCAACAATGGTTGCTTCAGCCATTTGTTGAAAACACATTTATTGCATTGTATTGCCAATGAACTTTATCAAAGATCAGTTGACTGTATTTGTGTGCTCAGTTGCTCAGTCATGTCCAACTCTTTGCTACCCCATGGGCAATAGCCCACTAGGCTCTTCCATCCATAGAAATTTCCAGGCAAGAATACTGGAGTGGGTTGCCATTTCCTTCTCTAGGGTGACTATATTTAGAAGGGTCTATATCTTGCCTTTCTCTTCTGTTCCATTGATCTATTTGTTTCACCAGTACCACACTGTTTTGATTAGCACACCTATATAATAAACCTTGAAGTCAGGCAGCACCAGTCTTCAAACTTTTCTCCTTCAATATTATATTGGCTTTTCTGAGTTTTCATCAATAATTTTTTATATTCTCTTTTTCTTCTTTAGTCTATAGAATGTCAGGTACACTGTCAACTTTATCTGGAGTGTGCAGCAATTATAATGGAGAAGATAATGATATATCCAAGATATATACAACTTAGTTATGAAGAGAGAAGTTACCTGGAACCTCAAAAATTGTCCCTCTGATGTACAACAGGCATACAATTCCATTTGAAAAGTAAGTCTTTTTCTATTAAAAGTTTCAGCAATGATAACACAGAGTAGGAAGATATGTATTTCTGCCAAGACTTCAGTCTTTTCAATTAAGGGCTGTGAGATAGGAAATATCTGAGTGGTTTGAAATACCTAGAACATGCATGGTGTTTTCACTCTAAGGACGAAGCAAAGTTGGCACTGTAAAGTAGGACCAGTAGCACCCACATCTACTGGGAATTGATGAGGCTGATTTATTAAGTTGTAGTTAATTCTATATGTGTAGTTAATCAACCTTGAGTGTTTAAGCATAAGGCAGGGTATTGGGCTTTTTTTTTTTTTTTTGCTTTTTTTTTATTACCTTCATTGACTTTGTTGTTCAGTTTTTCAGTGGGTTTTGACTCTGGGAGACCCCATGACTGTAGCACAACAAGCTTCCCTGTCCTTCACCATCTCCCACAGCTTGCTCAAACTCATGTCCACTGAGTTACTGTATGGTGTTTTCACTCTAAGGACGAAGCAAAGTTGGCACTGTAAAGTAGGACCAGTAGCACCCACATCTACTGGGAATTGATGAGGCTGATTTATTAAGTTGTAGTTAATTCTATATTTGTAGTTAATCAACCTTGAGTGTTTAAGCATAAGGCAGGGTATTGGGCTTTTTTTTTTTTTTTTCATTTTTTTGCATCACCCTCATTGACTTTGTTGTTGTTCAGTCACTCAGTAGTTTCTGACTCTGGGAGACCCCATGACTGTAGCACAACAAGCTTCCCTGTCCTTCACCATCTCCCACAGCTTGCTCAAATTCATGTCCACTGAGTTACTGACTTTAATTGAGGTATTTATCTTTATTTCTTCTTTTTTAAGATGGGAAATATTTTTAAGAGTCCTTTCTCCTTAAAATATCTTTAAAAGTCTTTATCTGTAGGTGATCTGCTAAAAGGTACAGCATCTGGCTGTTGGACAACAGGACTGCAGTCTACTTGGGGCTATGTTTGATTTTATTCTTAAGCCTTTTCAAAATGTCATGCCAGCTCCACTGATGTAGTTCAGATAAAGAGGTATTTCTCATTCTAATTCTGGTTGTGAATTAGTTCTCTGATTTAAAGTGAAAATACTGACAAAATAAGATGAAAGTACTACTGGTACATTACTACTTTATTAAATTTCCAAATATTATTGGAAATATTTTCCAGTATATCTTTAAAATGTATACTTTCAACTTTCCTATTTGCACGGTTGAACTATAGTCCAATCTATTGTCAGTGACAATCAATTACCTGAAATGTGTATGAAATTATAGACTGAGAGTCTAATCTGGTGCTCAGTCATTAGGTCGTATCTGACTCTGTTGTGACCTCATGAACTGTAACCTGCCAGGCTCCTTTGTCCATGGAATTTCCCAGGCGAGAATACTAGAGTGGGTTGTCATTTTCTCCTGCATTGGAAGGTGGATTCTTTACCACTGAGCCACAAGGGAAGCTCCCAATCAAGGATCAGGGAAATAAAGGTTATACAATTCTGACTGTATTTTTTATGCCTTTTAATTAATCTAATATAAAATGAAATAATACTATGGTCAAATTGTACAACCTGGAGAAAACATTGAGGGGAGTTGACAGGATCTTGAAATAGACTGTTTAACTAAGAAAAGGAAGAATCAACACTTTTTTGTAGGTATTATTAATCAGATATGGATACCCTCAGAAAGGGTATCTTTTTTTTTTTTCTTCTTCAGTATGCTGTAACAGGTCATGGGGATGTATGTCATTTTCCCTTTTCCCTCTTCATCTCTTTGTTCTCTAGTTTACAGAATACTCTTCTCTATATTTGACCCCCAAAACTTAAAACTCTCCTGTACACTTTCCATAAGACTGATTTGTAGGCATAATATATGACAGTACTGAAAACAGCAAGGAGGGAATGGAAAGAGGAGATATTAAATGTGAATCCTTTTCATGAAATCCACACCCCACACCCAGATTATTCTTGGGTCTTTAGATAACATTTTTTTTGCTTGGCAAATTACATTTGTTACTATCCAGGTAATTAGAAAGACTTCATTGATATGTTCTAGATAGTCTCTAAAACGTCGATGAATCATGCCTCTTTATGTATACCCAAATGCACTATGATGACCCTTGTAAATGTTTCCTTTTAGGGTTCAAAATAAATAAAAGAGAAGCAAAAAGGAATATGAGAATGGATAGATTTCCTGTCTGTGTATCATACCTATAGCCCTGGTCTCTTTCATAGCTTTCAATGGCCCATGTGCAACTCTTCATCTTCATCCTATTAGCCTAAATATTTCTCAAAATTTACATGCCCCAAATTTAAATCTTCATTTTTCCTAAAGGAATATTTAGCTCAATTTTTTCTCCTTCCCACTAAATACATGGACTCAATACACAAGTTAAAAGCTGAAAATCACAACTAGTTTCTCCTCCTGCTTCCTCCTCTATATCTAGAGATATTTGGTACCAATGGCAGGACCACCTTGGAGAAAGGACTCTGGTTTTTCTGATGATGAAGACATTTGCTTCCTTGATGAAGTAGAGACATCTGGAGTATTCTGGAGGAGAGAGTTCAATGTGATTGAGGGGAAGCACTTAGGAAGCTAGAAATAGTGATTATATATCAGCTGGTATATATGCATTATATTTTTTTAAAAAATGAATAGTTCTGGTGATAAGCACTGGATGCATGTCATGGCTAAATGTCATCTATCCAAAGCCCTCTGGCCTTACCTGTACAATACATCCTGAATCTCTACTGCTCTCCATCATTGAAGACACCACCCTGGCCAACCCCATTCTTCTCCATCCATCTTGTAATTCTCATCTGCCACATGGACAGCTAACTACAGAACAGCAAGAAGAGTCTCTTCAATCAACAAATTGGATCATGCCATTCTCCTGATTAAAACCTTACTATGACTTTGCTTTGAAATCAGAATGAAACACAAACTTTCACCTTTGTCCAGAAATTCTTACATTATTTGAATCTTGTTATGTTTCACATTCTGTTATTCCTCTCTTGTTCACTATTACTCAGTAATCTTGTTTCTCTTTCTAGATCTAGCCAAATCCATTCTAACTTCATGACCTTCTACACTTCCCCAGGCCCTTTCATGAACTAGCTGTTTTTCAACATTGGAGTCTTAGGTAAAATGTCACTGCCCTAGAGGACATAATTCTGACCAACTCTTGAGTTATTTTCTATCATATTAAGTTGTTTATTTCATTCTTGGCATTTATCAAAATTTGATTTTTTTCTTTAGTTTTATACTTTCATTTTTATTTTCTGTGTTTTCAAGAACATGTAGACAAATTTTTGTGAGGGGACTTGTATTATTTTTACAGTTCCACTCAGTATAAACACATAGTAGAACCTCAATAAACTTTTGTTTAATAAATGAAAGATCAGTATTGTCAAGAGTATGAAAAACAAATCTCATAACCAAATTACATAATAATGACATATCACCAGACAGTAAAGATTGCTATATTCATTGTTTTTACTTCCATTAGAAATTCTAATAACTTTCTCTCATAAGAAAAAGTCATAATTCAGAGAAACAATAGAATAGATATTAGCAGGGAAGAGTGGGCTGAAAATCAGGACCCCTGAAATCTATACACTCATTTCAGACTAAGTGATTGTTTATTGAATCTAGGTCTTTTTAATCTGTTTCAAACATACTGGCTTTAGAAATGATTTTGAATGTAGTTGAGACTTATGAGGAGAAAGAAAGCAAGATTTCTGTCATAATGTTCAACACACTTGCCTCACTCCTGCCTATGTTGGATTTCAAAGGAAAAGAAAAAGGATTTACCAGGTTAGAAATAAACACTTTAATCATTCTACAGCAACCAAGTGAAACATTTAAAAATCAATTGTAGTTGATTTCTTTTCTGTAAAGAAGGAGTTAATAAATTTTATAGATTGATTTTTGTATTGCTTTTGAATAATTCACAAAGGCAACATGTGGTTAGAGTTACCATATATTTAGGACTTACTTTGGGCCACTAACTTTTCTCATTTAATCCTGACAATTATTTAATGACATGGATTAGAAAATCAGTTTTACAAATGAGACACTGAAGTAAAAAAAATTTAGGCAACTCGTTCAAGTTTATACAGCTCTGAGTAATAGTGATTGAACTTTTCTCTGATGTGTCTGAATATAAAATCTGTGACTTATCCACAAAGAGTTGTTTCATATTTTTCCAACTACATTCACAGGGTAACAGACCCTTTAGGACTTATTTGTTAGCTTCTTCTCTCTTTTTAATATTAAGCACTACTATCATATCCTATTATTTTAAGAGAGGTTTACTATAGCTTTTCTCTAGCATTTATATTAGAATTAAAAAATGTTAAGAGTTGAAAGTGAACCTTCAAAAATAGTCTCATTACAGTCTGTTAATGGGAATATACATTGATAGTATCTACCTGGAGAGCAATATATTTTATAAGACTTAACATATATTAACATTAACCATAGCAATGTATCTACTTCCAGAAATATAGTCTTAAGGAAAAAATGTTATGAAAAATTAAATATAATTTTATTGTATCACTCTTTCTGAAAAAGAATTATGAAAACCTGAGCAAGCTAGCTAGTAGAGGGTAAGCTAAATAAATGTTAGAATGTTATGTAGCCATGGAAACTGTTTTCAAAGAGTAATGTTTACATGGGGAAAGAGTTAACCTAATATTTGATTAAATAGGAATACAAAATTGAACATAGGTTAAATTCCCAGCTTTAGCATTATGTATTAGAATGGAGAGAAGTAAACAAGATATATCTGTTAAGGATGATTTTTTTTTTAATCCAAAAAAAGAGTATAAAGTGTAGTGTAAGTAGTTTTTGTTTGTTTTGTAGATGTAGAAAATTTACATAGAATAACAGTTTGATGGAATTTTTTTTGGGGGGGGAACAACATAGGAAGGCTTTAATGTTGATGTTAAGTGTACTGAGATGAAGTAGGAAAGACTTGGGGTGGACCCTCAACCAAAGAGAACTGTTGATTTACTAAGTCTATACTAAGCAGATTCTAGTGCCTTTCAACAGCTGAGATGGGGATTGGGCACTGGTGCTGTTTGGTAACATGATTCTACAATGATAAATTCTATCTCTTGGTTAAATCAAGGACAGATATACTTTCATTGGACATTTCAGCAGAAAAGGCTGCTTCAGGTAAAAGGGAAAGGAAAGATACAGTGTCCTTATCTCGTTTTCACTCTTTCTGAAACACAGAAAAAGTAAACTAAAATGAGCAAGTTGAGTGTACTCCTATTCTTTTCATAACATCAAGGCATTTGGAGGTAGACATTTTAACCTCATGGAGGGTGATTACTTCTACCCACACGCATACACACATATTTGACAGGAGCAGGAGCTGTGCCGTTGTTTCAGTGTTTATTAGGTTCTGATGATGACAAGGCAAAACACAACGACCCCAAGATGGATGAAAGGCAGGCTTTTTTTTTTATTACTTATAGCTTTGTTGGGGAGAAGCCTGCCACATAGAGTCAGACAGGAATTTACCCCGAGGAAAGGATTAATGGCAAGTTGGAGCTGAGAAGTTGATTTATGTATGGCAAGCTGGCTTACATGTATGGAAAGATTTGTTATTTTGAATATCTCCATGGTTTAAGAAAGCAGAACCTATCTCTAGATGTTTGGCAGCTTGGATTTCTGGCAGCTAGGTGTGCATGTTTTAACCCAGGAATCAGTGTAAGGGAAGCACAGGTTTAGCAAGCTACCTGCAGAGTGGATGAGAGTTTTAGCTATGACCTCAAAACTGTGTCAAGACAGTACCTATGGAATGTGACAACAGTCTGTCCAGGAGAATATATATTTTAAAACACAGCCAAAATTATACTAAGCATGACTTAGATTCTTAAATTCAAACTGGGCTTCCCTGGTGGTTTAGCAGTAAAGAATGAATCTGCCAATACAGGAGATGCAGGTTCGATTTCTGGGTTGGGAAGATCCCCAGGGTAAAGAATGGCAACCCACTTCAGTATTCTTGCCTGGGAAATCCCATGGACAGAGGAGCCTGGCAGGTCCATTGGGTCACAAAGAATTGGACACAAGTGAGTGACTAAACAACAATACCAACAAAAGTATTGCAATTAAATTGCATCTATAGATCTGTAGATGTGTGTGTAACATTTCCTTTTTTAATTGCTTTAAATGCAGTTATCAAAAGGAAGAAAGTTGCTTTTCAAGGAAACTATTGGGAACACACAGGCAAGGATCCAGAAATGGATTATGTCAAAGCTTCTTTATAAAGACATTTACTGATATTGTAAAAATGTTACCATTGGCCATCTTGAATAGCTTTTCTTTTCCTTTTTATACATCTTTATTATTATGAAGTTTTCTGCAGTGTACATGTTTGTTTTTTAAAATATGCCAAAATAATCATTGTAGTTGATATCAGCCAGTTTAAAAATTGATAGTTATATTATAGGCAAAAATTCTTCAAAATATTAGCTTCCTATAACATTAAAATGGTAAAGTTTTCTAAAAGACTGCTCATTTTTATAGATTATTTGACATTTCACTCACCTTTATTAGCATATTCTTTATTAAACATTTCCCATTGTCATAAACCCTGTTCATATGGACAGAAAAAAAAAAAAAGAAAGAAAAGAAAAGAAACTCTCTGGGGCTCACTTCCAAAAAGTTTTGACCTTTCTTTTTTTATGAAAGTTTTTATCGATCATTTGGACTTTTTCATGTGCTAACTTTTTGTTGATCTGAATGTGTGTTGACCTTTAAGATTTTGTTGATTATAAATCCTATTTGATAACTATGATTATGTTTCATTTTCCTGAAGAAGCACAGATATAAGTAAGACAATAGGATATGGGCAGAAGAGTGGTAAATTATATCACTTTATTTTTGAATGTTAAAATCTCAATTCTGTTATAAACCATGCCTATGTGGTGTAGTATCTTGTAATATATTGCTCAGTTTGATTTGCACATTTGGTAGGAATTATTGCATCTATTTGGGGAAGGAATATTTAACTGTAGTTGATCATGTAATATTGTCATCAGGTGATTTGGGAGTATTCATTCTTCCTCTCAGATGGCTCAGTGGTAAAGAAACTGACTGCCAAGCAGGAAATGCAGGTTCAATCACTGGGTTGGGACTATCCCCTGGAGAAGGAAATGGCAGTCCACCCCAGTATGCTTGCCTGGGGAATCACATGGACAGAGGCGCCTGGGAGGTTACAGTCCACGGTGTTGTAAAGAGTCAGACAGAACTTACTGACTAAAGAGCAGCAGCAGCTTTCTTCCTCCATTTTTTGAAAGAGTTTGTATTGAATGGTTATTTCCTTTTTAAATTTTTGTTAAAAATTTCCCATGAGATCATATGGACTCAATGATTTGTTTAGAGGAAAATGACAGCAAACTTAGAAAGTAGAAAATAATTTGGTTCAGTTTTACTGTGGATATTCACTTGTGTTGTTAGAAGAGGGTATTTGCTATGGCCAGTGTGTTCTCTTGGCAAAACTCTATTAGACTTTGCCCTGCTTCATTCTGTTCTCCAAGGCCAAATTTGCCTGTTACTCCAGGTGTTTCTTGACTTCCTACTTTGCATTCCTATAATTAAAAGGACATCATTTTTGGGTGTTATTTCCAGAAGGTCTTGAGAGACTTCATAGAACCATTCAACTTCAGCTTCTTCAGCATTACTGGTTGGGGCATAGAATTTGATTACTGTGATATTGAATGGTTTTCCTTGGAAACAAACAGAAATCATTCTGNCTCATGAGTGACAGGGCCTACAGGAGCCAGGGTGGAAGAAGACTGGTGATCAACGAGAAAAACATAAAGGAAAAGATAGAGAGGTGGGCAGGGGCCAGAGCACCTCCAGGGCCTTGGAGCTTATGGTGAAGAACTGAATGTGATGTGAGAGCTGGATGTGATTCTCCAGGTGAGATGAGGAACTCTGGAAGGTGAAAATAATAAGAGGTTGTATGATTCGATTTATGTTTTAAACAGAGCACTTTGGCCATTGGAGAATAGTGGGTGGGGGCTCAGACTGGGGAGAAAATACAAAGCTCAGATTCGCTGAGAATTTAGAAGAGACCTAATATAGGCACTTCCCTGGGGCGGGGAGGGGGGCAGTGATTTATGATCTGCCTTTTAATGCAGGGGACATGGGTTCGATCCCCGGTCTGGGAAGTAAGATCCCACGTGCTGTGGGGCAGCTAAGTCTGTG